TGCCCTCTGTCTGCCCCACCCCCTTTAATATCTCTAACGCTTACCCCCTCCCTGCCCCCTCCTCTCCACGTAGCCGATGCAGCACCCCCTCCTGCCCCCTCCTCACATTGGGGATTCCACATAGCCGGTGCAGCACGCCGCGGTGTCCCCATGTGTTCTGCGCTACCACCCACGCGTCACCATGCCTTCTGTCCGCCCCACACCTCTTTTGTCTCCCTTCCTGGGGTCGGCGGCACTGGGCGGCAGCCCTTAAATTACTTGCATTTTTTCGGCTGCAAGGCCATGCAAGGCCATTGGGGAGAGCATTCCATAGGAAGACTCAATTTCATCTGCTTTTAAGTCACTGTTCAAGAGGATGAGCTCCAATTAGCTGTGTTATGAAAGCAAACTTATTGCTCCTGCATGTTGGCAATCTAAGGACTTCCATCGGACTTGGCGGGAACCAAAGTCACGGGAGGCCGCACAGGTGTCGCTCGGTCGTCCCTCGCCTTGGAGTTCAGCTGCACCAGCTCCTGAGGAGAGGGGGGGCCCCGGTGTTTCAGGTGGGGCAAACGACGCGTTAGAGGTGAATGTGCTGAAAGAATTAATTGGATCTGATGTGCTTTGAGCACACAATTGGATCTCTGGCCTCGAAAGCAGCAAGTTGTTAGAGATGTTGATTATGATTTGATCTTATTTGTGAGTGGGATGAAGTGGAACATCTGCACTCATCTGGGTCGCCTCGATCTCCAGAAGGCCGTTGTTGTTCAGATCATGCAACCTCAAAGGCAGCTCCAAAACCGTAGGCAGCTCCAGTCCGAAGAAGACACCAAGTTGGATTCCTTAGTGGAAACCTGTAGAAGAACCCATCACTGGAATCCCAACCAATTGGCTGGTAGAGGTAGACCTACCTACTACCCTCAGTAGAAACCTCTTCGGGACACCGAGTTCGTGTGACTGGATGTGCCCGAAAAAAGCCCACGGAACTCCCACGACCGGACTCCCACGGAGGAAATCGTGGATGCCAACGCAAAAACCGGAGAGACATGGAGAGTCCGGGTCTCTTCTAGCTTTTTGGAGCCACGCACCAAGTCCTAACCGTGAAGAGATGTGACTCTGTCTTGCACTGCTCCGAAAAGCATCTTTCATGGGTCCATGGTCCATGGGTATCAGACTTGTTCGTTGCCCTTGCAAAATCCAGTGAGGTTACACCGCGCGTCGAACGCTTTTGGCTGCTTTTTGTCCGACGTCAGAAACGTTCTCACCAGTAAATCGATCATGACCCATTCGGCCATGTCATAAGACGCCTCTTCTTTCTCGGAAAAGTTGATAGTGATCTCCAAATAGATCAATAAGTGAGGGTCCTTTCAACATGCATCGGACACCATCAAACGTCATGAAATGACCTATTTCGCGAGCTCTTTACACAGAAGCTCCACAGGCGCCCAGAAAAACGTGGACGCCTTTCAGCCAATCTGCCCAAGTCTGTCTCCGAGGCATGGTGCCTTGAGTGATGATGGAGCAAAGGAAGCAAGAGTGCACAAGACAATCTGGTTGTTGCTGCACGTTCCTTTGAACATCCAAGGACGGACAGTGTTTTTTCTAGTAAGTAGTAGCAAGGACACAGCAGAAGCCAGCTATTATCCGAAACGGTTTCAAGATGTGTCAAGACTTTTGGGGGAACTTAAAGCTTTTGAAGATCAGGATAGATTTGGGCCTGGATGGGCCTGGAAAGAGCAAATTGCATGGTCTTGCGAAATCGTCTGCCCTAACGTGTCCTCATTGTTGCTTCCCAATCGGGCGTTCATGACATGTCTTGACTAAATCAATGTGCGTCATATTGATCCTCCATTTATCCTCTAACTTCTGACAACAAAGACAAATCCAACTTAAAGCATTCTGTAAAGCCCTGCATTTTGAGCGCAAAGAAGGCAGGCTGAGGTCCAAGCCTTTCTAGTTGATCATGATGTACGGAGTTGGCGCACTGATTGGACCGCTTCCATCCTCCTCTGCGCCATCAATCTCCCTGGCCTGAGTTTCCGTGCTTGTCCCAAACCCGAGAACCGTAGTGATCCATTCTTTGTAGACATGAAGCGTTGAAAAAAAATAGCTCAGAGCGTGTTACTGAGAGCCTACAGGCCCTGACTCAAGCTTGTAAAGGGAACAACAATGTAAAAAAGTGACAAAACCATAAAACACTTACACTCCCTTCGGCACCAAGTCTTGAACATGCTGACTCAACCCGCCTTGGCTGGAGTGCAGCAAGCCTGCAGTTCTACATGTCATCAGCTTTCGCAGCACGGCCAGCTGAGCCATCACTTGTTAGAAACCTGGAACCAAAAGTAGTCTAGAACCTTGGTGCTCCTTTCTCGAAGTGTTAAACAAATGCATTAGTCAAGTACCTGCAGAAGCTGAAACTTGCATGCCAGTTTCAGGCGCGCCTCATGCGCGATGCCGAAAACCAGCAGTGCCACTCCGAGCAAGAACCAAAACCAGCACCTGATTATTTGGTTGCTGTGCATTGCTCTGTGCATGCTTGCAAAAAAAAATACTGCAAGGAAGTCCAACTACAGTATAATCGCAATGATCGTGTTCCTTGTGACCTGAGCCACTACTAAACTGTTCCCAAACGCTGAAGAACACACATCGTCAAATCGGGATGTGATCCTTCGACAGGCACTTCTTACAACTGCCAAGTTGCAGCGCGTAGTACCACTGGTAGGCAAAGAGGTCAAAGTAAACAGGCAGGGCAGTAAAGACTCCTGACGGGCGCCAGGAACCATGTCTGGAAAGCTCAGTGAAGCGCGAAAGTCGCCTGCAGCAAGCATGATGACGATGCCCATCAAAATTCCGCTCCTCAACATCAAAGTAAAGGCTGGCGGCTGAAGTGCCGCATCAAGTGTTTTCACCCACTCTCAGCTTGTTGCAAGCCCCATTGGCAGTGACAATTGATGCCAGCCAATCCACCAAGCCTTGCCGACCACGCCGTCACAGTCAGAGTGGAATCATTTGGATGCGTACAAAAGTAAAAAATGTTCATCCAATCTATGAGGCATCATAAAGCTCTTCAACACCGCTGGGTAATGTTGGATGCTGATTAGTAAACCGGTCCTCAATAATGCTAAAGTTATCCAAAATTATTCTAGACCCCATGGTTGAAAAAGTGGTCTTGAATAATGCTAAATTTTTTGGGGGACCCTCATTTCTTTATTTTGGACACCTAATTAATGAGGGTTTGAATTCCTTCTGAGGCCAATGATTATGATTGATTAGCTGATATAGGTTTCTCTAGGTTTCTTCAAAACTGACAGCTTTCCAAAACCACCAATTCCTAACTAAACCCTTTATAAAACATTGTTCCTAAACAAATTGTCAAGGTAGTAGACCAGGAAGGCACCTGATCATCAATAATAGATTTGTTTTAGTGGTTCTCAATTGTGAAAAGTTTTTCCCACTGGAAAAAAAAAACTGCTCATGGAATCTTCCTTTACTTATCTCCCGAGGCCAATGATTATGATTCATTAGCTGATATACAATCTATGAAAGGAAAATGAATACTACAATCAATTACAGAAAGGAATCCTCACAGGAATCCAGATTTGTTTTGGTGGTAGTTTATTATAGAGGGTCCCCTATTTGTTTGAGGGAGGGGGGGGCCTTTACTAATCAGGATCCAACATTATCTTTGAATCCAGTCCCCGGTTCACCGGTTGTGACCGGTCGTCTCTCACGGGCGCCATGGTCAGCCAAGAGGCGCCATGGGCGATGCTGAAGATGTTCGGAGCTGTGCTTGGGCTGAATCGGCTGCACTGCGTCTGTTTTCACCGCGGAATCGCCCAATTTCTGGAGTCATCTCCGTCTAACGAGAAAGGTCACGGGTGCAGTGGAAAGACGGACGCTGTGTCCTTCCACTCCAAATTCGTGAAGAAATCCGAAAGCAGAAAGCGGTGACCGGTTCCCACCGCTTCCCACCGCCTTCTTTTGTTTCCCGTGTTTTTGCGGATGTCACGTCTCAACTCGCTGGGACTCCATGCCGGAAGAGCTCTTGTAGGAGCGTCTCGATCTGTGGGAACAACGGTCCAGACCCCCAGATTGACCTGTTTATTGGGGTAAACAAACTAACCTAAAATCATTCTTGGACTGTCCATTGGAGAAACTCAATGTGATCTTGGTTTGCCAAGAACACAAGGTGTTGTATAGGGTCAAGTTGAAACTCTTCCAACATCTGACCGCCTTGAGCTTGGTGCCAACAGCTTAGAGGAGCCAACTAAATGTTAAGTTGATCAGCTGCCTGGGTGTGTCTTCAATTGCTGAGACCTCTCAGAAACGCCTTAGTAAGAAGGAAATAAAGAGTTACCAAAACCCATTGGTTGGGGACCCCCTCTTTGTACAGTGCCTGTTTTTGTAAATACATCCTTACTTGACTTCATGGACCAACTCATCATCTCGCCATCTCGCTGTCTGCACGCCGCCTCAAAAGCTCCGGCCTGAGACGCGGAATCTGTCGCACCAAGAGAGTGAGACCCCAATTTGACTGGAACAAATACTATTATACTATTATATACTGATACTATACTATATATGACAAGTCTGACAAATTGACAGTGTTTTGGCAAAAGTCGTCCCAAAGTCAGATATCATGAGATCAACCACGCTGATACAGCGCCAGCGCGGCGGAACCGCCTCTGTAAACTCGGGAGAAACCTGCGGGCTGCACAGTCACACCAGCGGAGCAAATGCTGAGAGAGTCACTTCCGCAACTGCCAGGTACAACATAGTACAGCTGCGTTGAAGCATGTTCCCTGCAATTCGAGGGCAGGTACAACATAGTGACATATTATTGTGACATACTATATATTCTGCTTGATTGTCCCCACTCAGAATCTATCCACCCAAACCACTTAACGAAGCACGATTTCTCCACCTGGCTGGGCGCATCATCACACAAGGCTCTGGCATCCAGGGAGCGGCAACAGCTCTGCCTCAGCCGCTTTTCGGCGCGACCGCGACCGCGTAGACCTGTCACCACCCAACTGAGGGCCCACACCCCATCTCCCTGGCGCCTCACAACGGCATTAGAAATTGTGGCTCTGAATCTGGGCTGAAAGAGGCCGACTTCGAAAATGAATGAAAGAGCCGATCTTCCTCATTGGATCTTGTCAAATCTTCTTGTCAGAACCGAGGACGTTTGAGCTGTTTCCGAGTGCGTGCCAAGCTTCACGCGTCGAACGCGTCGGGTTTGCTCTGGGGGTCCAAGCTTCACCGCCGCGGCGCTCGGCTCGCGGCGGTCGGCTCGTGGCTTTCAGCTTGAACACCAAACAGGCGCGCGACCGTGACCGACTTGGTGAGCCCACGTGAAGCCCGGCGAAGCATCCGAATACCAAGTTCCGAATGGTAAAGGAATTGGAGACGAATGGCTGGTAGCAGTTGTACGGATTGATGAGAGTTGGAGCCCTAACACAAAAACATGGAAAAAGGTAGGAAAGGAGGTTATTCCATCATGTTGCTCCACCCATATTGTGTTTACGTGTATTTGTGCGACTCACTCGACTCATTCCACTCACTCAGGCCGTATGGGATCAGAGGTGCAGAACTGAGATGGTACAGAACTCGACTTCGGAAAAGCATCTTTTGGGGCCATATGCACTATCTCTCCATTCCTACCCATATTTCAGAGGCATTTCTGAAACTGCACATATATGGAATAGTTTCATGAATTTATAAGGGAGTTTCGCTGTGGTGGTAAGCCCACTGGCTAAAGACTACTTCTGGCAAACCACCAAAGAATTCTCAATCGGTTGATGGGGATTACTGTACAAAGGCTCTTCCACTTCACCGATCGAGTCACAGGCGGTCACATGCCTTTCCCTCCTCTGGAAGCAGGTTGTCGATCACCGACAATGCAGAGTCCTGTCAAACAAAATGTGTATATATATGTATGCTTGTAAATATAAACGTTGTTTTATATGTTATATATATGTTATATATATTATTATATATATGTCAGATGTCGTAGGCCTAGATGATAAACACCCACCCATATATATATATAGAGTGTCTTCGTTCCTTTACGAGGAGGCGAGAATGGGCCTCGTCTGCCCCAAGACCACAGGTCTGGTACCAGGCGATGTCTTGGGGGAGCTCTGGTCGCTGTGCCAGGTAGAAGCACTGCTTGCAAGTGGGTGCCATGTGTTCAGTACTCAACAACTCTGCCCTTTTGTTGGACACGGCCATGGTCGCAGTCACGAGAAAATCCGGTTGGCCAATCACATCGAATGATTCTGTAGATCGCTTGAAGATTTGTACAACTGGTGCTGAGCAATCAGCTGTTTTAGCTGAAAGCCCCTTGCTTGAAGTCCCAGCCAGGAAGCTTCACTCCAGCCGCTTGCAGCTCCAAAGCGGCTTTGTTTCGCTTCGCAGCAATCAGAACTGCCTCGTGAGAATCTTGGAACGTCATTTCAAGTTGGTCTCAAAATGGGAGAATACCTGCCACTGCACCCCCAATAAAAACGAGAAACAAGTGGACACTAGACTCACTAGGCAACTAGTCAGGTACTCACTCCATTGAGCTGGGACAAGTCGCTCGTTCTACAAACGCCTATGTATCTGAGGCTTCCACCACTTCCCGCTCCGTGGCCGTGTAATACTTCCATGGCTTCCAACTTCCTTGGAGCGCGTTTTTCGGTTGAGACTAGCAGCTCTTTGGACACGAAATGTTCAAGCGCTTTTTTCGGCACTCCAAAATGTAAATTTTCACAACCTATGGGTATTTAGTGGTAGAAAATATATACTGTAAATAAAAGATAAAGACCATGGGTTGGGGAATTAAAGCACTAATAGCTGAATCAGGGTGTGTGCTCACACCAATGAAATTCAAATGGCTTAATACTTTTCCAGGAAGATAGGACTCAGTGCCTCAGCGAACAGGTTATAATCCCTGCCATGAAGAGCTCATCTCTGCCAACCTTTTTTCCCCGATGACCAGACCAGTTTCTCAGATTGTCACAGAAGCATTTCTGTGGGAAGTGAGGGCAGCACAGTGCAGAGGAAATGAACACAACATAATGAGAAAACATTTACTATTTACCATTGAATAGAACACACGGTCAAGAACACACTTAAGTTAAAGCAGTGAATCAGTGAACTGTGAACTTCTGGAAACATTGGAAGCCAAAGTGACAGCCCTCGCAACAGCTGTCTGTCTGTCAATATCTTTGGATTACATGCAAAAAAGGAGCCGGGGCCACTCTGGCACATGACTCTGCCTGTCTTTTTTCCAGACGTGAGTCAAACAGACTGCAAGGGCGAAGACAAATTCAAGACACAAAGAGTTTAATTGAAAGATTTCTTCATTTGAAGACAGCTGCCTCTGCCTTTGCACCCGATTGGCCTTCATGAGTGCTACCCCCTGTGCTGCATTAGCCCCTAAACTAAACCACACCTAAATCATGTGACCGGCCGACAACGGCGCGCTGGCACACTCCCTGAAATAAACTATGTGCGTCTTTGACGCTTGCTGAGCACATCCTCAATCACAGCCCGCGAAGCACGTTTCTCACCGGTAGATTGCATGATTTCATGCAAAGTGGGCTGAGGCTTCGCGTCCTGGTGGAATCCGAATGTGGCATCAGGCATCTGTAAAGCAAAGCCGCCCCAGCCGCAGCCCCAATGGAATTAGTGGAACGCTTTAATTTGGGGTCTGATATGGTGCACTATGAATATGAAAACAATGTCAGTGAGTGAGTCAGTTTCAGTTGAAAGAAAAGAGTCCTTGTGCTTGGTGGCGGAAGCCTTTGCACGGCCTTTGGGCTTGGAAGAGGATGACTGAGCCTTTGCGGCAGCTTTGGCTAGTTTCTTGGCCTCTTTCTCTCGGGCCTGCAATGCCTTCTTCTCTGCCTGGGCTGCTTTGGCCTTTGCTTTGGCCTCTGCTTTAGCTGCTGCTGCCTTCGAGAGAGCATCTGCTTTTGTGCGAGCTTTAGCTTGGGCCTTGGACTTGGGAGTGGACTTGGGCTGGGCAGGCTGGGCTGCCGCTTTGCCTGCGGGTTGGTGATGCAGCGGTGTTGCTGATGCAGAGGCCTGATCAGCCTGCTCAGGGACAACCTGCGGATGGTCGGCATCATCATCGTGCTGAGAGTCAGAGTCGGAGTCGGAAGCGGAACTTGAACTACAAACGACAGCTTTAGCTTCAGCTGCCACTGCTGTTGGATCATCATCAGCTGGCTTAGCTGGCTTGGGATGGGTTTGCGCTGATGCTTCAGTGGATGGTGCATCTGCTGGCTTGGGATGGGTCTGCTGTGTTTGGCCTTCAGCTGCCGCTGCCGTCGCTGATGATGCTTCATAATTTTCTACTGCGGCTGTTGCATGCGCTAACGCCGTCTGGGCTGCAAGGATAATATGTGCATCTTTGCCGTTCTTGGACTTGAGCACTTGCTTAGCCCTGGCATCTGCAATTTCAGCCAATTGGAGGCGTTTGGCATTGAAGTCATCTTCGGAGAAAGGAGGTTCTTGTGGCATGGCTGTCGGCAGGTCAAGGTTCATCACACAGTAGCCTTTCTCTTCTGCGGTGCTTTCGATGTCCTGGTTGAGGGAAGCATGCAATGTCTGCCAATCAGCGCTAAAACCTGCTGGGTGGCTGCTGTTCAGGATTGTAGCAGCAGCTTGAGTTCGGTTTGGCATATCATGATGTGACATCACTAGTTCCTTTTCAATGACTTGCTCGGTCAATGCCTTGGCTCGCTCCAACTCCATCAATCCATCCTGAGCATGACCTCCCAAGTCCTCATCCTCAGAATCGATGCTGATGGTGGCTGGAATGCTACTGCTGGCTGGTAGTGCTTGAGTCTCTTGCTTGGAAGCCGGTGGTGCTGGTAAGGGTTCGGGAGAGATCACTGGGTCTTGTACTGCTGAGTTGCCACTGCGTTCTGGTGGAATTGGAATGTCGGCTGGTGCTGCTGCTACTTCTGGTGATGCCTCTTCTGGTTGCGCGGCTGCAGACTCTAAGCTTTGGTTTGGGTTGCCGATGATGATGCTTTCTGGTGGAATTGGAATGTCGGCTGGTGCTGCTGCTACTTCTGGCGACGCCTCATCCTCATCCACTTTCTTTGCTTCTGGTTGCTCGGCTGCAGACTCTGAGCTTTGGTTTGGTACTTCTGGTTTGCCAATGCTTTCTGGTGGAGCTGGAATGTCGGTTGGTTCTAGTTCTGGTGCTGCCTTTGGTCCAAGAACCAAGGACTCTGCTGCCTCATCCACTTGCTCGGCTGCAGACTCTGGGCTGTGGCCTCGTACTGGAGGTGCTGCTGGAGTCTCTGGAGTGCCAGTGCTTGCTGGTGTTTGCTTTAGCTCCGGTACTGGCAAGGCCTGTGACTCTGATGCCAATGCTGTGTTTGGCATGCCTGGTCCTTGATCTGCTGCTGTTGCCGTCGCTGCAGTGGTTTCTTGTTTTGGTGCAGCTGCAGCTGCAGTGGTTGCTTCATCGGCTTCAGGCTGCTTTGGTGTAGCTGCTGAATCAGAAGTTGGTGCCGCTTCCGCTGCCGCTGCCGCTTGTTCCAGTTCATCGAGGGTGAAGAAGTTCTTCTCCTCCCATTCGACCTCATGACTCATGAGTCTTGGAACTGACTTGCAACCTGCATGATGCATGCGGTTCAACTTCCTAAAATAACCTCAGGGTAGGACATAGTCATTCCTGCGTTTGTCCAACTGGTCCTGTATCTCATTGATAGCATTCATCCATAGTGTTGAAACTGGTGTCCTTGGAGCGGGCTTGGCCGGCTTGGCCCAGGGCCCAGGGGCCCAGGCATGAACAAAAAATGACATCGACTTAGATGATCAATCCTACCATTCTGATTCTATTCTACTACTAGGTTACTACAAGACTAAATGATGTTCTTTTTCCAAGATTCACATGACCAAATCTCTCAACCATCTTCAGTCTCAAGCCAGTGGTGTCGTCAACTAGAACGGATGGGACTCTCAAGGCCATAGAGTTGGCGTTCAGAGATTTATCCACAATGAGCACCCCTGGTGGTATGAACAGCACATCTCCAGGTGAAATGTATGAGATGCAAAGGGATGGTACTGCGCGGTTGTCAGGATCAAGCTCCTCCAGCTTGTTCAAGGTCGGGACACACAACTTCTCAAGAAATGTGACTGCCGATAGCAACAGCTCTTTGGTCTCACTGGAAGTCTTATCACCATCACCATCGCCCAGCTTGTGTGCATTCAAGCTTAATGGCTGCCCACTAGGGTCCAGCTCGTGCATCTCCAACCTGAGTTTCGTCGCCCATTTATCAAGTGTCAAAAAGACTTATAATATATAGTTAATAGTCTTATTACACATTATAATAGTCTATAGTCTATTAGTCTATTCTATACTATTGTATTATTATATATTAAATATTAAACTGAAAAAATATTTTTTCCATTGAATTCCATATCTAAAACCAGAACAAAACTCTACACAAAAGCAACGCTTGCCTTTTCAGCAAAACTTAGGAACAACTTCACAGCCTCCAGTGCTTCCTCAAAATCTATGGTTGCTAGCATCTTGGAGCCTTCGCACTGGTAGTAAACCAATCCAATTCCACCAGCGCAAAAAGATGTTTGAACTTCTCCCCGGTGATTGGCAAGCAAAGACACCCCAGATACTTTGAGTGATGCTTTATGCCGCTCCTCTTCCGTGGCCCCTTCACCAAGAGAAGCTACAAACCTGACAGAGCAAGCCGTCCGTCCGACAGTGTGCTGAGCAACATGTAATATGCAATCCTGGAAATACCATTCTATTCTACCACTACCACCAAATATCATTCTCAGACTCAGACTATATAGTTAATTACTTGCCACCCAGTAACCTCTCTGTCAATTGGGTTCGATTGAGGACAATCGGAAGAATGCCACTGCCCGTGTAGCCCTCTGGGATGAGGCTCTCCAAGCAGCCATCCATGCGCTGATCTAGCCCTAGGATCTCTGCAGGCCCTTCAAGGACTTTCTGCGTCCGCATCTTGCCCTGCTTGAAATTGGACTCACTGTCCGTCCGGAATTTGCTCAAGTCCTTTGTTGGGAAGGCTTGTGCTGAAATTGAACCGTTGACTTGAGTTACCGTCAAACTAATCTCAAACAGACATAGACATAGACGATGACGACAAACTATAAAAAATGTTCAAAAGAATAGTACTGTTTCAAGCCTGGTTGCAGCTGTGATTTGCTTCATGAATGAACCGCCGGTCTCCTTGCTCATGTTGGAATAAGACATAATCACCGCTTTCATGGCAGACTTCATTCGCAAGCACTCCAGGCGGCCTTCACATGTAGCATGCAAGAAGGCATCCAAAGACGTCCTTGCTACCATGTACCGACCAATGGGAAACTTCTCTCTCAACACCACTGGATCCGCTTCACTGAACTCTGAAGCACTGACGCGAACTCTTCGTGCTCTGGTTTTGCGTGTGTTCCCATCCCCCTCAAGCTCTCCCCCTTGCTCAGCTGCAGCGGCGGCTTCGCCGGCTTCGCGGTCCGCAATGGCTCTCCGCTTAGCATCAGCTGCGTCCTTTTTCTGTTGCTCCTTAGAGAGCTTTTTGTCCAAGCGAGCTTGCTCAGCCTTTCTCTTCTTCTCCAATCGAGTCTGTTCTGACAGCCTTGCCTTCTGCTCATCTAAGGCGGCCTTTTGCTCA